ACTTTTTAAACATATAATTCATTAAAGAGAAGATCAATAAGCAAGCCTATTACCGTCCATCCAACTTGGTTTTTTTTCACGTTTGACACGCAGTACTTATTTTAAATAAAATATGTATATTTTTTTAATATTTTTACACATTATTTTAAATTTTTATTTTATTTTTGTTCCTAGTACAGACATGGGGGCTTCATAAAAAAAAACATAAAGGCGAAAATACAAAATTGTAGGTACAATTCTCATTTTAATTATTTTTTTTAAAATCATATATTACCTCCCACCGTTTATTAAAGCTTCTCTTTCTTTTAATTAACCTTTTCTATACTTTATTTGCCAACCTTGCTACGTTAATTGAAAAGGGCAGAGAGTAAACTCTACTAATAATTTATTCTTATGAACTCAGACCCTCGAAATTGTTGGGAATGGAATAATATTTTTCAATTTTATTTTATTAATCGAGATAGGCAGAGATCAAAATCTATAGACAAAGAAGATGCTAATGCCACTTACTATTGGAGTGGTGGAACGATCGGCTGTATTTTTACACCAATTAAACTCCACTATTTTTCACACGTTATCAAATTTTTTATCGTTCTAATATGATTACAAGGTAATATTTGTGTCCGATTTCAAAATTTGACTAATCTCACGCACACATATAGACAAAGCTTCTAAAACTTGGCGCTTAAGTTAAGAGTAAACTTCCGAAGCATGCAATAAGATCTCTATGTCGGGTTATGATCACTACTGCAAGAACTATGTACCCTCATCACTCTTGGGAAGAAGAAGATGCAACGGCCTTTCCTTTACAACCTGATGAAGCTACGAGACCGACGTCCGAGCTTTCCTCATTTTTTGGCTTTTGCGTCTGTAGTATTTGGAGCTGATGTTGCAGAACCTATCCAAGAAGAAAAAAAATGTTGAACAACAAGCAATAAATTCGAACAGTGCAAGTCGATTTATAGTTTTTAGTGTTAAATGTTAAAGTATTTTGACTAGGAAAGAAGACACTCAATGCAACAGAAAGAAACAACTGAAAAAATGGAACCTCTCAATCCTACTACCAACTAGTTGGTGGTTATTCACAAACTAGTCATGGATTTATCAAAATGTCATGTTGTGCTGCATTCCATGTACGCCAAGCACTCCAAGTCTCTCACCTTGATCCCAAAATTTTACGGACATACATAGTTTACCGAAGTCCCAAGCTAGAAAAGTACGTGCATATTCGTTGGTAGGGCACAAGAAATAAGAGAATGTTTTCTAATATGGTTAAACACACAATTATATGGAGAAAGCAAGAATAGTACTAGTATATTACAAAAATAATACCTCAATCTGCTGTTGGATAATCTTCTTCTGAGCCTCCAACTGGGAATCTGAAATATTTTGATTACTCCCTGACCCTTCTCCTGACTTTCCAATGGCACCAGGTAATTGAATAGGATCCAAAATGCAGTGTGGGAACCGTGGAAAGGGCAAGTTTGCCTGTCCACCAGGAATGGCAAACTGTTGTTGTCCAATGGATGTGCTTTCCCCACTAGATTCTGCTTTCATGGAATCAGCCAATGGAGAAGAAGCCCCGGGATGTACAGCGTTTCCTGGAGACCTGCATGTACCATGCACAAAATTGGAACGCATATCACCAGTTGGTATTAGAAAACCAACGCAATTGCACTTAAAGACAGACCATTTAAACAAAAGTGTATCAATATAAGAATTAGGGAGCATGGCAGATTTTGGAAACAAAGGAAAAAGAAAAGAAAGCAGACCAGATAAGGGTGTACCAACCTTGAAGGTCTAGAGAGGCCCATAAACCAATGAACCACTTTAAAGCTTCTAAAACATAGCACTCAAATTCAAAATGTTTTGTAATCTGCATGTGTTTAAAGTGCTCCATTTCTCTTGGCAATAGACATTTCACTTTTCAACTCATGTAAAAGGTCTTAATGCAAATGATTACCTTCTTTTATTTATATTTATGTAACTACAGGAGAAAAGTGTTGCCACTTCATTAATGATCACACACAACTTTTCTCTGGTCCTCGGATTTAAAGAAATTATTTGAAATTGCAATAATTGATGATTTTTTTTATAAGAAATGAGGTATCGTTAAAACCCCTTCATAACTGTCGCGGCACATAAGTACCTCAATGAACATTGGAAGGAGGAAAAGAGTGTCACAAATTTTATTGCCAAAAAGAAATTACACCTCATACAACAAGAGGATATTACAAACATCACCCACCAACTTAACCTCAATTCCAAACAAAATGTTACAAAAAAAAAAAAAAAACCTTATACCCGACTTAGCCAAACTATCAACCTCCCAATTCACAACCCTTTTTACAAACCTAATAATAACACTTCTCCAATACAACACTGACAATTTCCTTAACTAGCTATGAAAACACGGCAGGGCACACTTCCGGAGTCTTAATTCACTTTACTGCAATTGCAGAATCAGTCTCTATAATTAACCGACCCTTTCCACACCACTCTGACTCCACAAACATAGCTAAACCAGCTTGAATGACCTTCAACTCAGCTAAAATAGGCAGACCTAGACCAGTAGATGCCGAGAAGGAACCCAACAACTTGCTCTCTTCATTTCTAAGAATTCCACCAATTCCACTACTTTTCTAATCACTTCTCGCTGTCCCATCCATATTAATTTTGAAGAAACCCAGGGGTGGGGGACTCCATGAGACTGAAGAGGAGTTTACCTTCATGGATATATTACTTGAATCAGCCAACTTCATGTCACCAACAAGGCAATGTAAGAGAACTGGAAAATTAGGAAATTTCACCAATGCAGTCAGTCTATATATAGAAATAAATAACAAATGTTTAAGATCAAGACTTCCAATCTCGAAAACCAATTAGCTTCAACACTTTCATACTGACCACAAGACAACTCCCGAAATAAAATTCCAAATAATAGATTTAGGAACTAGGCTTCCCCAAGAAGATAAGAAAGCATTAGGATTCTCTGGAAGGACTGGGGATAGTTTCCACAACCTTAAGAAACTCACCAATAAGCCCCATGCAATAGAACAAGAAAAAAACAGATGAGAAACCGTCTCTTGATGCAAAACCACAAAGTGTGCATAAAATATTACCTATCCCACTTACACCACGCTTGATAAGTTCATATTTAATAGCCAATTTCTGATGCAAAACCTGTCATATAAATGCCTCCACTCCTGGGGTAGCATAACCGATCCAAACCAACCTCGACCAAATCAGATCCACAACAGACTCTCATGACAGTAATTTGACGCATGATTTGACCTAATAAACGCCCTCCCCATTCCCCATCCACACACATTGATCATTCGCATCATTCTGAATACTAGCATTACTTAATAACGAAAAAAACTCAGTCCATTGCTCGAATTCCCAGTCCAGTAAATTCCTTCGCAACTGAATATTCTAGCACCATCCCCCTGTATTTAAAAAACCAAACTCGGAGATTTTTCATTCTTTATTAACAGAAAGAGAAAACATCCTAGTAAACTTCAACCTAAGAGGGACATTGCAAATCCACCTTTCAAATCAAAAAAAAATCATTCCCCTTTCCGACTCGTAATTGAAAATGATTCTGAAAACAATGACCAAAAGCATCATTCGCTCAGCAGTTATTAACAACTCCCCTCTAAATCCAAGATGACTTATAGGGTATTACATTATCCATAAAAATTGATCTATTATCCAAATTATACCTGCAACACACCAAATTCTTCTACCAAGACTCCTTTTCTGTAGCAAACTTCCATGCCCACTTCCCCAAAAGAGCCCTATTCATAAGGTTTAAATCAATGAGAACCAAACCCCTTAAACTTTAGATCTACACACAATCATCCATTTCACCCAATGGATACTATTTTTCTGAGATGATCTCCCCATAAGAAGTTTGCCCGAATAGAATTCAGTTTCCTCATAACCTTATTCGATATTCTAAACATTGACATAAAATAAATTGGCAAAGTGCTTAAAACCGACTTCACCAACACAACATTCCCTACAAGAGAAAGAATATTTGTTTTCCAACCCACCAATTTCTGGTAACATCTCTGGATTATTGGTTCCCATAAAGTAATCGAATTCTTAGTCAAACCAAGGGGAAGTCCAATATACTCCATTAGTAAGACTCCATCCGAACATCCAATCGAAGCCACCCACTCTTTGATGCAGGTTTCATCAACATTAATACCGAAAATTCTGCTCTTAGACAAATTTAGTTGAAGCCCCGAACAAAATTCAAAAATAGCCAATACTCTCTTCCCAATATTCAGTTGTCCTTCCGAAGCACCACAAAAAATTAACAGGTCATTGACAAACTGCAAATGAGACAAAACCTTATTAGGGCTGCCGATCTGAAACCCACTAAAAATACCTATTTTAACCGCCTTAGACAACAACAAACTTAACATCTCACCCACTAAATTAAACAATAGCGGTGATAACGAACAACCTTAGTGTAAACCCTCGAAATCTTAAATTTTTCAGTCGGAGAGCCGTTAACTAATATGAAAATGGAAGTTGAAGATAAACATTTTAAAATCCAAGAATGCCACCGCTACTTAAACCCCATATACTCCATAGCCTTCAACAAGATCGATTAGTCTATTGAATCGTAAGCTCTTTTGAAATCCACTTTAAAAGCAACACCTTTCAACCCTTTTTTCCTCCAGAAATCAATCCCCTCATTTGCTATAAAGGAGCAGTAAAAAATCAGCCTCTCTGGTACAAATGCAAATTGAGCAATACCTATAAGAGAATCAATACAAGTCATCAATCTTCTTGAAAGAACCTTCGACAAAATTTTGTAAAGACCACCAACCAGACTAATAGGTCAATAATCTTCCAAACTCTCCGGATTCAATTTCTTAGGGATCAATGATATAAATGAATGATTCACTTCTTTCTCCCGCCTCTTCCATGAATAAAAATCCGAGAAAAACATTAAGATTTCATTCTTCAGAACCAACCAAAATATCACCAGTGAATCCAAATATGCCAACAACCTAAATATCAACATAAAGGAATATAGTTACTCAAACAATAACGTCAAAGGCTCTTCCACTCACAAATAATACAAATAACACCTTGTTGTATGTGACACACTTGGCAACCTTGACCATGTTTTTATAGAAAGCACTACAAATCAAAGCATTAACAAAATTATAAATAGCCCCAACAGTTAATCAAAGAAAATGTTCAAGAGAAATGCTTAACAAATCGTCTGGTGTTTCCTTACCCTTTAACATAATCAAAGTTTGAGAATATGAATGTCTTTGATATGTCAAACCCACAAGTATTAATGATATCTTTAGCATTCTCCCGAGCGAGTCTTTTTCTCTTCTCCACAAAAAGATTTTTCCACATGCACTTCTTATCATCAATGAGTTGACATAGTTCTATAACGAGAGGGACTTTGAAGGCATATTGAAGGTATATGCAAGAAAGATCAAGCATTGACCAAAATTTGTAGAAATAGGTATACTACCAACACTAAACAACATCTATTTTCTTCTAAGTTTCTCCAAGACCACAAAAACAGTTAAACCCATAGTATCAAATTGCGGTTGTGGATGTTGTGGACGTTACGTAACGTGTTGCGGCTATCGTGGGCGTGATCTCTTCCTAAAAAATCACAATACGTCTAAAATAGTATATTTATACATTTTACAGTTATCTTTTAATATACTCTTTTAATATTTTATTTTGAAAATAAAAAATTAATTTTATAGATAAAAATTTATTAAAAACAAATATAAACCATAGAAGTGTTATCATATTGGATAATGGGTAATAACAATTATAATATTAATGAATAACATATAAACAATATCACTAAAATCAAATCAATTTTTTTATATTGTAACATAAAAAATGTTCATTTTAAATAACTTAGAAATAAAGAAAAATACATAACTATAAATATAAAAATTCTATATCTTACAGTTCACCACTAAAATTGGCGTGACGGATCTAAAACATTTTCATCTTCGTCATTGTCTTGGTTTTGATTCCTTCCTATTCCATGTGAAAAAGACATCACATTATGTGAATCATAATATGCATCATTGGTAGGAAGCATGTTGTATGATAAATGATAACAAAAAAAATCCATAACTTGGATTTTGTTCAAGGTAAGGTGGATAACATGAATTTGGTTGTTAAGAATGAGAACCATGAGATGATTCATTAATTTCATTATCATTTGTAGCTGAACTATATGATGATGAACCTGAAAATGAAGCATAAAAGTGTTCTCTCATTCTCCCATGAGTTCTATCATCATCATCTCTTCTATTTTGTGACACATTTGTTCTATACAAACCTGAATTATCATCGTAAGGATATCTGGATGTACCTTGATCTCCATGAAAAGCAGTAAAATAAATGTTTCCATATTCTGGTTGATGCATACCTTCATTATCACCATCATGATCATCACAACCACCATCACTATCGTTATCATCATCATCATAACTTGACGTCGATAGTTGAAATTTTTCTCATTAGATGGAGTAGGTGAACTGTTCATATATTCACCTTGAATTTCTTTATCAGTTTCATTAAGTAACTCCTCAGGCAACCATGAGAAATTGTGTTCACTATCAAGTGTAGCATTCTCTCTTTCTTAAATCCATGCATTTAGTAAGTCATCTTCTTCAAAAATATTTTCAAGATTAATCGGATTAAAACCCATTTCTAATTCTTGTGCACTTTTTCTTTGCATGTGTCTCAGCTTCAACCTCATATTATAATGGACATAAACCAATTTTTGAAGTTTTTTATGCTTGAGTATATTTTTCTTCTTTGTATGGATCAAACTAAAAGTACTCCAATTACGCTCACAATTTGAAAATGAAGTTGTTTGACTCAACTATAACAACGATACGTTGAAGTTGTGGTGCACAATTTCCATAATTAATCCACAATTCAGCTACAAAAAACATAAATATTAAGATATAATTCATAAAGTATTTATACAAATATCTTTATTATCTACAAAACTATAGAGGATAAGTTCTTTTTGTTTACTAGGGTTAGTCTTCAAAATTGCATCTTGAGCTAATGGTGTTCTAAAAGAATCCATTTTGTCTTGATATAACAACAACTAAAAAATAAACGAATTATTAGTTTAAACATGATAATTTATGAGTTTTTTCAAACAATTTAAGTATATAAAATACATATCTGGTTCATTGCAAGAATTTGATCATTCAAGTTGGGTTATATCCTCTATATGACATTTCTAACTCCATTTATAGTTTCACGAATCACTATACTTTTGGAATTGTCTCCGTATTGAAATTGTGGAATTAGAAAATATCCTACATAAAAAGTAGCATAATAAATATCTAAACAAGATATCACAATTTAAATTTAAAAGTTTTATAACGTACCAACAAAATATAAATCATTATGAAGTTGTTTACTCCATCGTCTATCAATTATATTCCAATACAATAATAAATAAACATATAATTATGATGCTTAATGTTAATATAAAATTTTAATTTAAAATTAATCACGTTAATTTTATATATGAAAAAAATTCAATTTAAATTTAAATTAATTTAATTTTAAAATAATGTTAATAAATAATCTAATTAATTCAAATTTAAGTACCTAATTTTAAACATAACTATTACGATATTATTAATGATATATATTTATAATCCAGTTTTAAGAATTAAATTATAATAATTAATCTATGTAATTTTATATTTCAGATAATTTAAAGTTTGTTGCGGAGTTGCGGCGTAATTTATAGCGTGTTGCGGTGTTACATAACGGTTTTTTTACCGTAACAATTGTGATGTGATTCTCTTATCGCATTGCGTCGATATTGCGACGTTACGCTGCATTGCGACCGCAATTTAATACTATGGTTAAACCCCATGCATTTAGGAGTAATTACTAGAACCTGTGAGTAAGCTTCCAATAAAGCTTTCCCCAGTAAAGAAATTGCAGAGGAAATAACAACTGAAATTAATCTAAAAGCACTAAATTCGTAGAATTTTCGTTGTTACTTATAGAGCTATAAAGTTAGAACAGTTCCTATTTGTTTATTCATTTGAATCATAGTTCTATTGACCCGTCGATTCATAAAGTTGTTACTAATTGTACGAATTCCAGTTCTTTTTTCATTCATATAAACAAATTAACTAAGACATGGTAAAACGAAATTACTTGGTAAACATCAAAACGAATCAAATAATGCAAAGCTTCAGAAGAAGGTCCACGACCGGTATACAAATAAAACTTCTGCCCCCGCTCGTAAGCATCCAAGATGCCATTGAAATCCCGATGCGCAAAGAATACGCCACGGCGGAGGAATACGTGAGGAGGACGAGAAGTGAGGCGCTGGACGCGGTCGACAAAGGATTGATCCAGCCTTTGGCAACCGAATTTGTCAATGAGCTTATCGTAATCGATCTTGCCGCCGTCTTTGGCTGATACTTCCCATGGATTCACCACTTGTTCCTCTTCTTGCTGCTGGTTCTGAGCCTCTGTCTTCTCCATCTTCACTTAGAAGTGAAAGGAACTGATGTTCTGCTATTCACTAGGTTACGGCGACGGCTATATGAAACTGTCCTTCGTCCAATAGATGGCCTATTGGATCTATGACCGTAAACGAACTCTATTTAAATTTGTAACGAGTTAAAACGATTTTTTTTATTTTTTTTACTCAACTAAAAATAGCTGACAAACAAATAAAAAATAAAAAATATATTAAAGTTAATTTTAAAATTAAATTATTAATAATATTATTATTTAAATATTATTTTTAGATAACAATATAAAATTTTCATATACTCAATGTTCGAGCTCGAGCTTAAGCTTGAATTGAACTCTAATTTTAGCCTCAATCAAGCTAAATATGAAATTTTTTTAGTTCAATTTTTTTCGAGTTCAAGTCGAACTTGACAATTTTAAAATCGTTGGTTCTCGAGTCAAATTTCAAGTAAAAACTCAGTAACTTTCGAGTTGAGTCTAGCTTTTTCCGAATTTGAGTCGAGATAACCAATTTAAGTTAATGAGCTTGAGTTAAGCTCAACTTTAAACTTTTTTAATCGAGTCGAGTTTAATAATACTCAAACTCAACTCGACTTATTTACAACACTAATAGGATCCGAAACTAAATCTTTTAGAAGTCTTCAAACTTAAAAAACGTCAATTCATCTAATTAAAATTTATACATCCATTATTTTAATTAATATTAACCACTAACTCTAATATGTTTAAAAACATATATTAAAATTATTGTAAAATTAGAGTCAATTTACACATTTTAATAATTTTTTGTATGATTAATAGTATCGCATTCTAATAGTTGAATTTATAAAAATGTATAAATCAAATTAAAGTTTCTATTATTACAAGTGGATTTTCTTTTAATTATAAAAATATTAATATCAAAAAAATATTAAAATGTGTAAAAAAAACAATTTATTTCTATGCTAATATAAGTGGATCTTTCTTCTAAATGTTTTATTAATTTTAAATCATATGTATGGAAATTATTTGATGCACTTGCACTAATATGAAAACCAAGCGGATCCTTCCACCCATTGTTTTTTTTTTTTTTCAAATTAGGAAGATTGAACCATCTTTATATGCATGAGTATAAGCGTGTGTATTTTCTACTTAGGGGTTCAATCCTTTTTTTTTGAAAATTTAAAATTATTTTATAGTTTAGATTTTTTATATGAATTTTGATTTTATCCTTAGAATTTTATAAATTTATGTTCGGCCCCTAATATTTTAAAAATTCAAGTTCACCCTCAACATAAATGTTGCAACATAAATGTTGCGTCCACCCCAGCCTATATTAATTATGTATATAATTTTACGAGATGTATTTAATTAATATAAATAATAAAATTATTCCTAAAAGATGATTGAAAATTTTGACTAATTTATTTTTGTGTAAAAAGAGTATGACATATAAAGGTAAAAAAAAGAAATATAAATATTGTTGTTTATTTATTTTTCTAATAATACATTTTAAATATAATAATTTTAAAAATCAAAAGAGACACATTTAGTAAGACGAGAAAAATATATAATTATTTTTTGAGTCTATGTATATAAAAATCCCTGTCGGATGACTCACCCACCAATAAAGACGGAAACGAAATTATCGTCAGCGTCTGCTAGAATATATGAATTCGTAATACAAACTCGGCAGCGTTGTACGGTCAATTGGTAACACTTATTGAGAACTAAAATTATTTCGCCAAACTAATACTCACAGTTAAAACCATCCAAAACTTAGTCGACCATAAAGCAAAAAATGCATTGAATCTTCCAGATTGTTTCAGGTTCATGGCACCAAGAATTCAAATAAAAACAGCATAAAAATATTGACGCTAACACATCACTACTTAACAAAAAAAAACGGAGCAAACAAGCAGAATACTAAGGTCTGGTCCACAAAATAATCAAAACCATCCAACAAAAGCTACCATAAAAAAAAACATAGATGTCCTATTTATAAATAGAAATCCTAGCAAACTTATCTGTCCTGTTCCATCCACCCTCCCCCCTTTCGATCCTGGTTATAGTTGGAGAGGCCATTTACTTGGCCATCATCACTTTGACGAACTCCTCGTAGTTGATCTGTCCATCACCATCAACATCTGCTTCACGGATCATCTCATCAACTTCCTCATCAGTAAGCTTCTCACCAAGGTTGGTCATGACATGACGAAGCTCAGCAGCAGATATGAAACCATTTTGATCCTTGTCAAACACCCTGAATGCCTCTTTAAGCTCCTCCTCTGAGTCAGTATCTTTCATCTTCCTAGCCATCAGGTTAAGGAATTCAGGAAAATCAATGGTCCCGTTTCCATCGGCATCAACTTCATTGATCATATCTTGGAGTTCCGCCTCAGTGGGGTTCTGCCCAAGTGACCGCATCACAGTCCCCAGCTCCTTGGTCGTAATGCAACCTGCAGCAATGATTGAAACAAATCAATACAACAAAATCAGACTACAATATTGGTTATCAAACAATCAACATGACTAAATACATTCAGCAAAAATCAGCAAAGCATTATTGTAATACCTAAAAAAGAGAGAGTAAAGTCACAAGAGTCAATTTTAAAAAGATAGTTTACAAAATTCAAGTTTTTCTAATGCCATAAAATTTCTCTCAAGAAACTTCACAGATCAAATAGATAACCAAACAAGAACTGGGGAGGATATCAAACATATCTCCTATGTGCCAAGAATAAAGAAAAGATGTATTCTGTCTAACTTGTGCTACAACAATCTAATACATTAACAAGTTTGCTCATGGATCAGCTAATAAATGCAGAACATGCAGTTGCAGAATATATATATACACACAGTGCATGTTACAAGTCATAAGCTAATTCGAAAGCCTTCAAAGAAATGATTACAAAAAAATTAATTTATTGTTTGGGGTTACATATCACAAAATTAACTGATTGAATCATCCATACAAGGTCTTGAATTCTCATGACATGCCAGAGCCCATTCACGTTGATATCCTAGAATCATAACTATCAAGCATACTTGGTATAACCATACAAGCTAACTTTAAAGATGAAACAACGAGTCAATGCTTTACCAGCAACAAGAAAGTAAACAAATAATGATCCAATATATCATTACACGTTGAAAAATGCAGGATCAAACAAAGGGGAACGCATCTAAAATCAAAGGAAGCTTCATTAATCAGATTGAAAACTTAAACAAATGAAATGAAATATTTAATCAAGATTAAATAACAAAAAAAATCAAATCAGCAAATCTCAAGCATAAATTAAGCAACAACTCATCGCATAAAAAGAAAATCTATCCTGATTATGTTTGCATCGATAATATCTAACACTAACAAGTTGGGCAATGAATTCAATCGGAAGACCGAGAAAGGTCAACATAATGAAAATGAAAAAAAAACATAAAAATCAAGAGCCACAAGGATCGACATCAAGAAATGAAATAACAATAGACGACCAAATTTTATTGAAAAATTCATAAATCAAAACCCTATATCCGTCACATCACTAAAATTACAAAAGAAAACGATCGCAAAATTAATAAATAATGCAAAAAATAAGCAGCAGAATCGGAAACGACACTTAGATCTACGAATTCGAGCTGAATCGAATGAAGAAAAATATTAAAACATTAATATTTAGAACAAAAATTTCAGAAGAAAATAAAAGAGAGAATGAGAGGAAGGACCATCTCCATCCTTGTCAAATAGGCTAAAGGCCTCCTTGAATTCAGAGATCTGATCGTCAGTGAGCTGATCGGCCATTTGCTTATTCTCTTGAGCTTTTTTCTTTTCTTCTGGAAAGATGTGTTTGGTTTGAGAGAAAGTAGAGGAGAAAAATGATGAGAGTGTTGAAAATATAGAAGAAGATGCGAGGGCTATATATAAGGGCCCTACACAAATTAAGGCATTATATTTTCTCTCCTCCGCAAGCATTTTGATCGTCTTTTTTTCTAAATTAAAAAAAAATTATTAGCCAATTATGTTTTTCTTTTGGGTAAACTACATTAAATACTATTAAACGTTAGAATTTGCATCAATTTATCACTAAACTTCCAATTATTTTAATAATTATACTAAATTTTAATTTTAACTTCAATTATATCATTGGATTGTTAATTCGATAACGACAAGATGACTTGAACGATGGTTGTTAATATGGATGTTGAACCAACATGATGTTCCTTTTGTGTAGTTACTTTGATGTCCAAAATGATGTCATTTTATTAAAGAAAAATTGAGGGGAATTATCATTTTTTATTAGTTTTTGGCCATTACAAGATAATATTTGTTTATAATTTTCCTAGTCATTTGACAATGACCGCACATACTCTACAGATACAATTCCTTAAACTCGAAACATTTAGGAAGAATAACACTTCATTTTATCACTGTAGTTACTTAATCGAGGGAAAATATCAAAATGCATTTGGACAACTTCAAATGAAGAATCTTGAGAATGAATGTCTATCCTCAATTTTCCTACGACAAAGTAATATCATTTTAGGTTTTTTAGATATCAAAACAATCGTACCAAAATTATTTGTACGATTTAATTTAAAATCAAAATCCAATGTTATTATTGTAATAATTGACTACTCAATGGTGGAATCGTTGCAAACCATAAAGTTTAATAGTATTCAGTGTGGTTTACCCGGGAAAGTCTCACGTAGGGCAGACTTAATATACGGCTAAAGAAATACGTTACTGGTTTTGTTATTATTTTTTTTTAATAAAACTGGTAAAAAAATTACCAGAAACATTATTATTTCTACCGGTTTTGTTATTATTAGGCGATTTACTAGTTTTGTTAACATATCCGGTAAAATACTACCAATTTTGTTATTTTTTCTATCGATTTTGTTATTATTAGGCATTTTACCGGAAATATTTAAAAACATTGATATTTTATGCAGAAATAATAATATTTTAGGTACTTTTTTATCGGTTTTGTTAAAAAAATAATAACAAAATCGGTAGAGTCTTTCCTTAACTGTATATTAAGGCTGTTACACGGTAGAACTTCCCGATTTACTCTATTCTTTTTCAAAAACGCAAGTCTTTGGATACATTTTCTTTCGCTTCCTCTCCCGTTGAAGAGTTCATTATTTGACATTTTTAAAGGAGGTTATGCCTTCATATGAACAACTTCTACATATATTAGACCCTTATTTAGGTAATTAACCACTAAAATATGAATATAGTTTTCAAAATTAAAATAATTTAATATCGTTTTTATTTAAATCATATCATTTTAAATATTAAAATTTTAACTCAACTTCAATTTAATTTAATCCCATAATATTACTTATCTTCCATGAGGAAGCTCCTATTGTTCAAATTTTAAATTTCGGTAATGAGAAATCATTTTCATAACTCAATAATAGGCGTAAAAATAAAATATTTTTTTGACAAACAAATAAAATATTTTTTTGACAAACAAATAAAATCATTTTAGTTTTTTTATTAATATGTAGTAAATACAAAACAATATCTATTAAAAAAAACTTTTAATCTTTTGACATTGAACGCTCATACCCTTGACATCTATGATGTTCGAACCCGGGTCCTCAAGGAATAACACAATTTCTTTCTCAGGCCACTTGGTTTGTGCTCATTATTGCTTATTTAAATAAGTCTTTGAAGCACAAATCAAATGATCTTAATGGTTAAATGAATAATTGTTATCCCTAAAGGTTTGGATTCGAACACCAACGACTGCATGGTATTTGAACATTAATTATCATATGATTGAAAATCTTTAGACTAGATACTACCCCTTGTAATCTCCTTAGAGTAACTAAAAAAGGCCCTTGAAATAAAATCATTATAGCTTCTTTGACTATGCATTAAGGAGCAGAGGTTTGTTTTGGTAAAATGAAAAACTTTAAGGGCTTATTTAAACAAGCTAAAGCAGTTGAAGGGTTTATTTTTTTTATAATATACAAGCCAAATAATTATCTATAAAATTATATATATATTACGGTAAACTGCATTATTAGTCACTTAGCTATTAGTGTGTTTCTATTTTGATGATTGAACTATAAATATTTTCAACTTTGGCACTAACATTTTTTATTTATTCTACTCTTATTGAGATATAAATGATGGCATTATCGTTATTCAATTGGTATGATTAGATATTTAATCATTGATATTTATATATTCTATTAATTTGATCATAATTCTAATTCTCTAAATTTGGTCTTTAGAACAATATAAATTACGGTATTTTCAATTTTTTTTCTTGAAAACTCCACAATCTTGAACTAATTAAAGCAAAATCCATGTTCCATTTGCACCTTTTTTTCTTCTTCTTATTTTCTTATTTCTCATAGGCCCATGTCCCAATGAAACCCACGGTTAATTTGAAGCTTTGTTTTCCAAAGCATCCTAAAATTGACTGAACCGTTGGTATAGGCCAGATGAGGGAAATTTGTATAAAAATTGGGTAAACTACATTTTTTCTCCCTAAAGTATCACTTTTGTTCCGTTTTAGTACATAAACTTTCAATTTGTTCAAAATTATACCTAAAGTTTACTTTTTGTTTCATTTTAGTACCTAAATTTTTAGCGGTGGGGTGCTAAAATGAAACAAAAAGAAAATTTTATGTATGGTTTTGAGAAATTTGAAAGTTTAGATACTAAAACAAAACAAAAGTGATAGTTTAGTTACTAAACATGTAGTTTACCAAAAAAATAAGGAAACATTGATCCTTTTTTTTACAGATTTTAAAAAACTGGCCCATTTAGGAGAAACAGTGAGTATAATGAAATTAAATCATATATTCATATTGGTGTTTGAACTATGAGTATATGACAAAACTATAAAGGAAAATTAAAATTATAAGGACCAAAATAAAAAAATTCAAAAAGTTTGAGATCGTTTGTTTAATTTTGAATATTTTGATATTGATTAGTAAATTTAAATATTTCACTTCATTCTTTTTAGATGTAGAATTGTCAGTGGTAGTTCCCAACGGTTCTGATTTTGGTACAATTTTTGTTTGAACCACAATGACCAAATTAGAAGAAAAATAAATTATATCAATCAAAATAATAACTAACAAAAAATTCATTAAAATTACTCTCATTAAGTCTTTATATTACTAAATAATTTTTAAAGAACTGTATTTCTCTATTTTTTTATTTTATCATTTCCACTACTTTTTGCCACTAACATAAGATAATATATTTATTAGTTTATTGTTCATCAAAAACCCATCCGCCCTTACAATAAAATTAATTTAGGAAAGTAGATTAGGGGAGGCTGTGGGATTGGGGTTGATATATTATTGATGAATGGAAGATGTGTGGGTATGTGTTTGTAATTAAATTAATAAAATTTATAAATACAGAAGGTTAAATTTTTAAAATTATTTAAAATTAGGATTAAAGTGTATAACTATAGTCATTTAAAAACTACGTCGTCAGTTAATAATTTAATAAAAAGTGATCAAAATAAAACTAATAAAAAAATATTAATGATGAAATTGACAAACACATAGTTTGTAAATTATTACATATTTTAGATATTTTATATTTTTTTATTCATAATATATTTTTATCTCTTAACAATTTATAAATTCGTGATCCATCTCTTTTAAAAAATTTAAAATTTACCTCTTAACGTAAAAGATTATCATTTTCAAATTCAATGATATTTTAGCAAATAAAAGATTCATTTATAAAAAAATGGGCGAAAGTGGGCGCTTAAAAATGTGCGGACCTAATCTTAAGTAAGGGGCTATTTGTTTACTTCAGAATGATTAAGCGTTGAATGATTCAAACGTTGAATGATTCAGAGGCTCTGTATGAATTAGCTCTGAATGTGACATGTTGTTTGATAATGGTTCTGAATCATTCAGAATGTACTTCTGTGCTGAATCATTCAGCACTGTTTTGCAAAATCAGTCAGCACTGAATCATTCAAAGGTGAGAAACAAACAGTCTGAATGTTGAACGGTTCAGCATTCAGCACTGAATGGTTCCATTCAAAGCAAAAAAAAAAAAAAAACAGCCCCTAAGTTCACATCGTCTCATCTGAAAGTAAGATTCAACTGTGATCGACTATCATCTTTGTGAAAGTTTAAAGGTATGACTCATTAATTTTTTTCGTTGAATAAGAACTTAATTAACGAAATTTTATATGGAGTTAAATCAAAGCCTAACAGAGAATAGAGTATTAGAAAAAAGAGTGAATTTCATTTATAAATTTAATATTTAAATTAAATTTATATTCTTTTTTAATATTATAAATTAAAATATATTATCTCTTTAATTTGAATATTAGTAGGATAATTGTTCTTTTGGATATCTTAAATTAAAAGATATTTAATATATATTTAATTTTGAATATTAAAAGATAATTATATTTTTTGGGTATCTCAAATTAAAATAATATATATTTAAATTTAAATAGTGAAAGATATATATATATATATATATATATATTAAATATTTTAAATTAAAAAGATATTATTATATGTTTAAATTTTATTATTAAAAGATATCAATTTTGAGTAAATCTCTCTTGACATTCACTATATATATTGAGCTAACATGCTATGTTAAACACATCTCATAATTCAAGAATTCCTAAAATCATGAAAAAAAAGTTCTCTTTCTTAAGTTTTTCAATGATAGGCAAAGACAAGAAATAGTTCGTGAACTCGATTGCTTGTGCTATTGTTTGTTGATCATTTAGTGACAGGACTCAACTCGTTTTTCGATCGATAGATCAACAAAAGAGTATTTCTTCTTCCTATATATTTTATTTAATTTTTAAAATGTTTAATTAATTTAATTTTATTTTCTTAGGTTCAATTTCGTCTCTGATTATTATTTTGTATAATAATCTTAAGATA